TGGCTTTATAACAATGGCTAATGGCAGTTCTAGCATATACACATTGTCCTTCAATTAAAACATAATTATCAATACATTCAGTACATCCTTGACTATTACATGAAGAACAGTAGGCTGAAGGACATGAAGCATCAGAACTAGAAGAATAAGCTACAGCACTAAGTAATGAAACAATAAGAATAATCATCATATAATTTTAAAGATATGACTAGTTCGTTTAAAAATACCAGAGGGTTAAGAAGAAAGAAGTAAAAATAGAATAACATAGAACTTCTTTTCTTGAGAATTAATTTGAAACATCAGAAGTTGATGTCGATAAATTTGAAATTTGGTCTGCTGTGTGCTTGAAAAAGTCAAGACTGTCTTTTTATAGAAAAAAGAAAGTAATAGAATCATGTAGAATTTCATATGAGGAATTTATTCTCAATATCTCTCCGTTTTTTTTGTTATCTCCCTCATCCCTTTTTAACAAAAAATCTCAAATGTTTTAAATTTATTAAAAGCCAAGAAAAAAATTTAGTAAGTGTTATTGTTAAATGCATTTTTTCTTTTAGGCTCAAAGGTGGAACACCAAAAACACCACACAAACATTATAATGAATCAAATCATAAATCATCAATTATCTTTTGATTATGATGTTGTTACTGATTAGAGAAAACGTGTTATATAATATAACAAAGAATAACAGTGTTTAATATTAACAATAATGGAATATTATTTATTATACTAAAGAATGAGTATTTATTAAGATAATGGTGTTATTTAATTGTTAAAATACAAGTATACATGATGATGAATTGTTGGAGTTCTCAAAGAAAAAGGAATTTCATATTGTTCTTGAGACTAAAAGAAAATAATCATAGTAATATATGGTAAGAATATATTCTTTTATCATAAAATAAGAAAATAAAGAAAGGGTAGGTTTAACACACAATAAAATTCAAATAAAAATGAGATAATAATTTATATGAAGAATAACTAAGTTGTTGGTGCTTGAAAAGGCATTGAACCAAAAGAAATAAAGGAATGACAAAACAAAATTGTTATTTCTCGACAATAAAAATCTAAAGAATAAGTAATTAATTATTTAACATTCTTTCTTAAGCTCATTGATGAGGTTAGACTCTGGTGAGCAAAAGACAGTAGAAAATAATTTTATTATCATTTAATTAACTACTTTTTATCTTATTCTTTTTTTCTTTTATTTGACAAATATATTTTATGAAATTTTATTGTGTTTTAATAAAATGACAGTAACATACTTAAATAAATTACTGGTTAATCCATAAGTACTGCAAAATAGTCTATACCAAATGAATAATAATTACTTATGAAGAAATAAACAGATATGAATATTTCTACAGTTATCAATGTTTAATTAATAAGTCTATTTCAATATTATATTCATCACTATATTTAAATGATTATTATTGACTGTTTCTTATTTTAAAAAGTAAGTTGTTAAGATAGAGTGATTATTAAAAATGTGATTTGTGTATAGTATTATTTCGTTATTTGTATTATTGAATGAACCAGAATCAACATGAAAAACTGTTGATAATTTAACATCCAATCAAAGAAATACATACTAGCCATTAATTGTCATGTCTTTATTAGTATAGTATAATAATTCTCAATCAAAGAATATTGTGGTATTGGTAATATGTTCTTTAATTAATTTTACAATTAAAAAGATATTTTTTATATATTCATTTAACCACAGACATTTCTAAATCATTATACATTGAAGATACTATGAATTATTAAAATGAAGTAACTTTCCATAATTAGATACTATCCAACTGAAACAAAAGAAGAAATTATCATGTGGATTATACTGTTTGTATGATTGAGAAAAAAAAAGTGAGAAGATACGATAGAAAAAGTTAAATAGAAACTAAAAGTTCAAATAATACTATTTTTATAAGAAAAGATAAACCAAATAGAAGTATAATGACAAGAAAGAAGAAGTTTTTTAGTATTAATCAGTCTTGGTATTTTTAGGTGGTTCTTTGTAATTCAAATAGAAGAAAACAAAGAGTATTGTGGAAATTAACATGCCAAAGAAAGCAAGATAAAATGGATAACATTGTTGTTGGAAACGAGCAACATGGTCATGTCTCCATGGTCTAATTGGTGTAACCTTTTCAAAATGAAGAGAAGAAAGTAAAGGACGTCTAAAATAAATGAATAAAGAGAATAGCAGAATAAAAAAAAAAATAACAAACGTATAATTGATTTTAATTGTATAAACACCAAATTGATCTGGAAGAACAGTAGTGAATGAATATGAACCATTCTTTAAATTTTGTGCAAAATCTAAAATAACAGGAGTGACATATCGATATTCAACCTGAACATCGTCTGCAATATATCCACTAACAATTCCATTCATTGTTTGTTCAATATCAAATGAAACAGTAACGGTGTCATTAGTGAAAAACATACCTTCATTTTCAATATCAGGTACACCATCAATTTTAATAATTTGAATATTTTTAAGTTCTAATTTACCATGTGTTTTCATTGACCATTGAAGAAGGGGTTGAATAAATTGTTTATTTTTCTCAAAATAAGTATTATTTAACATATCAATACTTCCAAGTATTGCTAGTCTTCCATTTGTCAAACTTTGAAATGTAAAAGAAAGAATCTTATTTGGTGTTGACTTTAATAATGGTACAAATGCATTTGAATCAGGTAATGTAAAACTAATTCCACGATAATAAACAGTAGTTGTTGGGAAAAGAGAATTAGAAAGAGTTTGTATATCCTTTTCAATAATATCAGTTGATGGTGATAATTTTACTTTAAATAATTCAAGGAATGATTTAGTTTCTTTGGTATAAACAGGAGAATATGCCATAAATACATTACCTCCTTGTGCAATGAATGATTTCAATGTTTGCTTTTTGATATATGCAAAATTATATTTTGGAGCTAATATATAAACAGCTTCATAATTAAATTCACCATATGATTCAAATACAATAGGAGTATCCATATCAACTGTTTCAACTAATTTTCCTTCGTCTAAATTGTGGGTAATCATATTAAATGTTAATTGAGTTGATAAATTACTACAAACTCTTTAGCATAGAAATTAATTGAGAAAATGAATCTGCTTGTTTTTGAAATTGTAAAATAAGAAGAACTGGTTTTGTCTCATAAGCAAATGAAAATGCAATGAAGAAAAATAAAGAGACAATGAAATTCATTTTTTGATTTGTCCTTTACTATTTGAAGTTCTTTTTTTTCAAAAATAATTTTTAAGAATTGAAAAGTTTGAAATATCAAAACGAAAACTAGAACTTAAAAAGATGAAAAAGAAAAATAGAAATGACTCAAAATAATAAGAAAATAGATATAAATCAATATGGTATTGTATTTTGTGATGAAGAAGGTGTTAGGATAGAATATTTTGATGAAAATTATATTTGTATTATCAAACAAATATATGTTAAAATTCCATATATCAAATCAGTATGCTTAATTAATGAAACAACTATTGGATATTGTTGTTTTGCTTCAAAAGAAACTTCCCCATGCACAGTTTATATTCATAAATTTGATATAAAAGAAAGAACAGCTAATAATAATCATGCAATTATTTATAAAGATGACATTAATTCTCATTTAAAAAGACTTAATTTTAAACAAGAAATAAAATGGATTCAAGTCTATCAAGATGAACTTTATGTACTTCTTGAAACTGATCTAATAATACTTTCAGTTAATGACTTTTCTATTAAATGGAATAAGTCTATAGAAGATCCATCATTTGTTGAGATTGGATTTCCTAATGGACAATTTATTGCTTCTACACTTCATGGTAATACAATTAATTTTATATCAACGGGTAGTATCTCAAATTTCCCTTTTAGTATTTGCCAAAATACTATTAAATTTATTAGAATTATGAAAGACAATACCGCATTTATTGGACTTGGAGAGATAGGAATTATTCATAGTTTTGTAATGAAAACAAATAACCAAATAACTTTAAAATTTGATACTAATTATGATGATTGTATTTTTATTGAAAAGACATCAAAATATTATATTGTCTGTGTTTCAAATAATGTAAGTACTAAAATTATGGCATTTGAAGATACAAAATCAAGAACAATTAAAGCAATAGATTCATTTGAATTAGATAAATCATATTTACCATGTTGTAGTGTTGTTAATGAAAAAGAAAAGTTCATAGCTATTATCACAAAAAAATCAGTGATTTATTTTACAAATGAATTTAAATTTAAAACAGAAAAGAAAATAAAATTAGTTAAAATTTAACTGAATATTATTGTGTTATAATTTTCATTACTTATTAGAGGCAAAAGAGGAATGTTGTTTATTCTCTTTAAAAAACACATCTTCTTCTTTTAATTCGGGAAAACGAGTTATGAGATAGTTGATAATTTGGTTTTGAATAATTATTGATGTTGTTTTTGTCCAGACAACAATCAAATTATTTGATTTCTTTATTGAAACTGAAATCCCATTCACAATTCCATAGTCTAACAACTGTTTTTCTTGATTTGAAATTATATCAATCAAAAACTCTTTCCAAATTCGACTTGTTGCCTCCTTTTCACATTTAATTGTAATTGTTGAACCATTTTCGTTTTCTTTGTCTTCCCAACATGGTTTAATCCCATCTTTCATGAAATGAATTGAAACTTTTTGATCTTGAAGTAGTTCAAGTGAAGGAAGACAACCAAAAGCCTTCCAGAAACTTTCAATAGAATTACATGAAACTATCTCCTTTAAGTTGTCAATATATTCTTCAAATGTACCATTTTTATCATTAAAATTATCAACCCAAAAAGTCCAACAAAAAGCCAATGGGTGTTCTACAACTTCACAAGACATAAACACTTTTTTCTTTGTTTCTGACACCCACTTTAATTATAATGACTATTTTTCTTTAAATAAAATCCTCAAATGTTTGTCTTTTCTTCTCGATAAAAAGTGGATGTTTTGAACTTAAAAATGAAATGGGAATAACATCAACACAAACCCAACTAGCAATAAATAAGTTAAAACAAATCAATCAATCCCAAAAGGAATTTCTTGAAATATCTTCTCAAGTGATAGAACAAATTGAAGAAAGTATTTCTGAAATGGTACAATCATACGAAGAGAAATTAAAATTCTTAGAACATGAAAATAAAGAAATCAAACAACAACTTGATGATGAACGAAATAATAATAAAAAGTTATTAGAATCTCAAAGTTTTTCTCTTGAGAAAAACAGTCAAGAAAATGACACAAGTAAACAAGAAATAAATAACCAAAATGTAGAAATTATTGAATCAGAAAAAAAAGATTGTACAATACCTGTTGTTGTTGAGAAGAAACAAAAACAAAATAAGAAAAAAGTAAAACCCCAACCAAGAAGACAAACAAAGATTAAAATTATGACAACAAATGAAAAGGCAAAGAGAGAACGGGCAAAAATGAAAATGTCATCTGATTCACAAAAGCAAATACATAAGGTTGTACCAATTAAACAAGAAATAAAAAATGATGTTGAAATAATCCCAACAACAGAATTTAAAGAATTAATTCCATCAAATGATATAGATATTGATAAAGAAATCCCTGCTATTGTAAATGTTTTGAAACCTTCTTCAGAAAAATTATCAATTATGGATTCTATGAATAACCTTAAATTAATGATTAGTCAAATGAAATTAGAAATGAAAGATGAATTTGAAGAAGGAAGTAATGATGATGACTTTGACTCATTTGAATAATTAACCAAATACAAATTCATAACATAGATTAAAGACGATAATTTAATTCATTAATGTAGCCTTAGGTGGTTTTATTGGTTTGTGCTCATTACTATTTAATGTTTTATTCTTTTTAGACATAAAAGACCTCCAATTATTAAATCTTTGTTGTCTAGAATTTTCCCAATCTTCTTCTTGTTGCTTTTGTAATTTTTGAATTTCTTCTTGATGTTGTAATTCTTCTTTTTCTCTCTTTAAATTAGCTTGTCTAATCTTTTCTGCCTTTTCTAACTTTATTTCAGTTTCTGCCATTATTTTTTCACAACGTTCACATAATAATTGTCTATATTCATCAGAATTTGTATTTATTTTTGATAATTCTCCTTTGTTTTTTAATTCCGTCATTAGCTGAATTCTAGCTTGTTCCATTAAATCTGTGTATTTCTTTCTTTGGTCTTCATCTTCTATTGCTTTAATTGCTTTAGACAAACAAGAAATAGCTGCGTTTGATAAAGGATGATGACATCTGTCTGGATGACATTTTAATGATATTTTACGATATTTCTTATGAATAGTATCATTATCATCTTCAGGTAAAACACCAATAACATTAAAAGGATTTTTGTATGTAGTGATTTGAGTTAATAATTTATCAATTTCTGGTGGATTAATTCCATCACTCATTTTTCTTATGGAATTAACAGATGATTTATTCAAAAAAAGCAAATTATTTGGTTCAAATAGATAAAAAAAAAGAATAGAAAATTATAATATCAAAGTATATCATTCTATTACATTAGTTCTTCTTCATACTCAGATAATAGAAGTGCACCAATAGAGCCAAAATATCCATCATATTCAAGAAAGTTAGCATCAACTGAACCTGAAGACCATGTTGTTAACATTGTAGTTATTGCTTCCCAAACAACTGGGTTATGAGCAACAAATCCTCCTGTATAAAAAATACGATTAATATGATGAAGTTTAGTTAATTCAAATCCAAGATGTGCAATACTTCCACATACCATCATCATTAGACCTTGTGCAATATCAGCCTCACTGTAATGGTTTTTTGCCTCTCCACATGGTACTTTTTGAATTTTACCAAAAGAAGATGCCATCATATCAGCAGCAAGTCCAACACTATCATAACATCTCCCATAAATATCTTTAACATATAAATCAACATTTTGATGTTGTCCATATTGTGCAGCTTGTAACATTTCATCAAATGACTTATAATTGGTTAACAAACAACATAAACCCCAAAATGTTCCACCTCCAATTAATGACCCTGAAACACGTTCATATTTCTCTGGTGCAGTAACCTAAATAAATAAACAACCATTTCTTCTGAACATCTTCTTAAATACATAATATTGAATTTAACTTTGTAATTGAAATGATGAGATTAACAAACTTTGAGAATAGATACTCCACTTCCAACATTAACAAGTAAATATGGGAAAATCTCAGGAGTTACTTCCCGATATAATTTTGTTTTATTAACAAATCTAAAACATAATTTCTCTTGACAACATAATAACAAAAAATTCACTCCAAGAACAAGACATCTCATTTCATCTTGTTGACGTACTTCAAGATCCATTTCATCTTTTAACAAATTAGCAAATTTATAAGCACCACCTCCTGTCACATTTAAAATCTGAAGATTACCAATCCCATAAATTTCTTTTAATTTAGATGTTTTTGCATAATGAATAAATTCTGGAATTTGTGATGTTGGAAATTTCATAAAACAAAGCTCATTTTCCCCTTTTGAATTCACTTAAACTTATTATTGTTATTCATTTAAAATAACTCCTTTAATTTATAGAGTATAATGAATTATAACAAAACAAACTAGTGACTTTTAACACTGGGTCGGGGTATAAATCAAACCCTGACATTACTGATTCTTCTGGTTCAACATATTTTGGAAGATCAATATCAGTATCCCCTGGAATCCAAAAGACTATTTTTGTCATTGTTCCTCCCATGTCAGCTGAAAGTGGTGCAGTTCTTCTTCTTACACCATTAAGTGGTAAAGGACTTTGTGTTTTAGTAAATTCATATTGCTCAAATGTATGAGTTATATGATCATCATGTTCTATATCTTCATTAGAAAGAACAGAGTGTTTTGATGGTATAGAATGGGATGGTTGAGACATATTTGATAAAAACTTAAATTATCAAGATGTTTCACTGAGAAAATGATTGTTTCAAAACCCAAAAAAACGAAAATCTATAAAAATTCCATTGTTCATTTTTGTTTTTGAAACGATGGATTTTTGTTTTTCTGAGAATAGTTTTTTCATTTTTAGAAATTCTAAAAAAGCACCAATAAGATTGAATCAAATTTTCAAAAATCTTTTTTTCTTGTCGAACTATAAATATCAGTGAGAGATGGGAAATAGATTATCACATGTCAAAGAACTTTTTGACAAATTAGACAATGGAGGAAAGGGATATTTAGTTCTTTCTGATTTAGTGAGAGAAGATATTATGATTCCAACTGTCTGTCATTCACCAGTTATGATGTTTTTAGTTTGATTTTTTTAATTTTTAGAATATATGTTCATTTAATATAATCTTTTTAACATTTCTTTATGAGAACTCAACTTTTTATATTCTCAAAACAAATACATCAAAAAAGAACTAATAAATAGTATGACTCTGGAGGAGATGGAAAATTAACTTTTGAAGATTTTAAACGTTTAATAGACAACGTCCAAGACCTCCAAAAAAGAGCAGAAGAAAAAGAGAAAGAAAAAATTAAAGAACGTGAAACAAGACAAGTTTTACCTAAAATGAGACTTGGAGATAATTCTGTTGATCCATTTACTGTTAGTAAAACACCAACTCTTCTTGAAAATAAAGAAGGATCAACAACAAATTTAAATTCACAATCCCTTTCTACACCTTATTTAACTCCATCACAATCACCATGTCCTATGTCTCCTGTTAATTCAAATAATGCTATTTCAGTACAAACACCACCTAAACAAATTATTAAAGGAGTTTCACAAGGGATTTCATTAATGTGGTCATTATTCGATAAAGAAATGAAACATCAATTTCTTGGAGTAGTTGCAAATGATCAAAAATGTAAAGCATTCAACAGATATCTTTTTAATTTGATTGATACAAAAAAATGTGGAAAAATAGATATTGAAGATCTTGAGTTTATGTTAGATGTATTAAATGATGATGGAATAACAATTGAAAATATTTTATATGAACTTCCAGAATCTAAACCACAAACAATTTTTGAAGAAGCTGAATTATTATTTCAAACATATAATTACAAAGGAAATGATTATCTTGGAATTGCAGAATTTTCATTATTAGCAAATTTAATTACAAAGAATTATAAAATGAAAGCGGAAGGAAATGATATTAGACTTGTAGGAAGATATGAATTACAAAGAAAATTAGGAGAAGGAAGTGAAGGATGTGTTAGATTAGGAGTTAATAGAAGAACAGGAGAAAAAAAAGCAATTAAAATATTTTATAAGTCAAGAGGAATTAATTTAGAACATCTTGAAAATGAAATTGCATCATTGAGGAAATTAAATCATCCTAATATTGTTAAATTAGAAGAAGTTATTGAAAATGATGAACAATTGTATTTTGTAATGGAATTATGTCTTGGTGGTTCTTTAGCTGAGCATGTAGCTATTTCACCATTTAGTATTCCAGTAGCAAGAAATTTCTTTAAACAATTACTAAGTGGAGTAAAATATTGTCATGATAATGGAGTTATTCATCGAGACTTAAAATTAGAAAATTTGATATTAGACAGAGATGGAATTAATTTGAAAATATGTGATTTTGGACATAGTGTAGTTGTTGTTTCTGATTGGGACTTTGTAGAATCAGCTGTAGTTGGAACATTATATCATATTGCACCAGAACAATTACAAGATCATTGTTATAGGGGGAAAAAAGCTGATATATGGAGTATTGGAGTTATATTAGTAAGAATGTTAACAGGAAAATATCCATTTTATTCAAAAGACCCAGAAGAAACAATTAATTTAATAAAGAATGCAGTTTATTCATTACCAGACAATCTACCACCAGATATTCAAGAACTTATTTCACATATTTTTGTTATTGATCCAGAACAACGATATTCTATTGAACAAGTAATTGATTCATCATTTGCTAAAAGTGATATTGTTATGTCATTGTCATTTGTTAAAAGAAGAATTACAATTGATCCAGTTGTTGTAACAATTGATAATGCATGGAATTTAATGCATTCTATTCTTGAAAGCAATCATGTTATGTGTAAACGAAATACACATACATGTTATTCAATGTATTGTTATCAAATCCAAACACAAATGAAATTTATAGTAAGTTATAGAGTAGGACAAACACCAGGATCAAATGCATATTTTGAATTTTTAATGACTGATGGTGGAGGAATTGATTTTAGAAATTTAATGGATAATATTAAAAAGAGTTTCTTAGAACAAGTTGATCCATTACATATTGAAGTTGTAGAAAAGAAATTAGATTCATTATTATTAGAAAGTAGTCAACCATTATTATCTAGTTTTAGAAGAGCATATGAAGAAAGTGTTATTAAAAGTAGAGTTGGAGTGTTATTATGTGGAAAAAGTGGATGTGGAAAAACATCATTAGCACAAAGATTTTTTAGTAATAAATTACAAGTTGGAGAAGTTGGTCCTACTAAATATTATACAAAATATATTCATACAAATAAACCCATTGTATTATATGATGCTAAAGGAATTGAACTAAGTACTGAAAATGGTTTTTGGGAAGAAACAAGAGGATTTCTTGATGCTCACAAAGGAATTGATCGTATTCATTGTGTATGGTATGTTATTGATGCAACAACATCACGATTTGATGTTACAGATGAAGAAATTTGTAGAACATTATTTGACATTCCACTCATTATTATTATTAATAAAGCAGACTTAGTTAGTGATGAAACACTAACAAAAATGAAAAATAAGATTGAGTCATTTAAATTTGAGAAGTGTGTTGGAGTTGTTGCTACTGTTTCTTTGGCTGAAGAACAAACAAAACGAATTAGTATTACTAAATGTAGTAAATGTCATAGTAATGACATTTACATCTTTATCAAAGAATGTGTTGTATTTTGTAATAATTGTGGATATGAACAATCAATAGTAACACGGCCGAATGTAGATGAATATGATAAAGTTATTGAATTAACAATTAAACTCTTACCTGAAGCAATGAAATCAGGTTTTGTTTCAGGACAATCATTATCAATAACACATAAAATTGAATTGAGTAAACGAATGATTAGAGAGTATCATTCACAATTAGGAAATGATAATGATCTTGAACTAAAACGGGTCATGAGTTTATTAACAAAATTAAACAAATTATGGGATCTTGAAGATTACCACTCTGTGAAAATAGCAACTAAAGTTATTCAAGACTTTTTATTAAAAGGAGTTGTTGGAACTTCAGTTGCAAATTTCTTTGGAGACACACCAATTTTCCAACCAGATCAATTTACAGCAATATGTATTGTTTGGGTACAATGTTTAGTTGACTTACACTTCTTAATGATACAAGAGATACTCAACGTAGAAAAGGTAGAAAATGTGGATGCTGTTATGCAAAAAATAATGGAACAAGCATTTTGTAAATTACAACAAAACTATGTCAAAGGGATTGAAACTGACTTAGTTAAAAATGGATTAGAAGCAGTTTTGTCGAAGTTTTAAATGACAAAAGAATAGTTATTTAGATTGAGTATTATTATGTTTCTATTTTTTTTTCTTTGTAATGAAATATAATTTTAAAACTAAGTTCAAAATAAAAAAAAAAATAAAACAAATAGAATAAAAAAGAAATTCAAAATGTCACTTTTATTAATGTTTGATAAATATTTTTTTTACTTAATAAAAAGAAGTATGAATAGATTTTAATATACAACATCAACGTAAGATGGATTGGAAATTAACAACATTTATTCTCATTATGAATCGTTTTAATAGTTATTGGTTGGTCTTCCGTTGCAATAGCAGAATCAAAACAATTTGGTTGAAACTCTTTATATTCAACAGCAGTATTTGATTTTATTCGTTGGATAAATTGTTGTGCAATAAAAACAAATATTTCTTCAATATTCTTTCCATTTACCGCACTACATTCAAAATACCGTAATGATGGATAAGTAGCTCTAATAACTTCAATTGGAACTGTTCGTGCATTTGACAAATCAGACTTATTACCCACTAAAGCAATAATTGGACGATTATTATCTTTTTCCATTTCACTTAACCAATACCCAACCTATATTTTAGTAAATACCTTTTATTTTTTTATAACTAACTTGTTAAACAAACCATTTCAAAAGACGTTTTATCAGTTAAGTCAAATACAATAACAGCTGCATGTGTTCCACGATAATATGATTGTGTAACACTTCTAAATCTTTCTTGTCCAGCTTTTTAATATAAATATTTTTGTTCACAAAAATGACATACTTTATTATAACAACAAACCAGCATCCCAAATTTCCATTATAACTTCTTCCCCATTAATTTCAACTATTTTTGTTTTTAAATCAACACCAACTGATGCAGTATATATTCCATCAAAAGTTCCTTGTGTAAGACGTTGTAACATAGCAGTCTTACCAACTCCTGATTCACCTATTAACAAAATCTTAGCAGTGGTTTTACTCATTTTCTACGTAATTTTCGTGATAACTTTTCAAGTTCATTTTTTATTTCTTTTTTTTTTAACTGAACAATTGTGTTATTCTTTTTATGTTATTCTATTTTTAATAATAATTTTTTATAGTTAAATTACTATTATATTTTTTCATTATTTTTAGTTCTAGTTCTATTAGAAGGAAATTTTGAATAATATAAAAAAATTTGTTAAAACGATGATTTTTGTTTTTCCATCTATTTATAGAAAGAAGAAAGGAAGTACAAAAGAAGTAATAGATTTACTCTTCTTTTCAACATTAGTGACAGAAGTATTCGACAAAAGAATTGACAAGAAAAAATAACATAAAGAGAAATAATGTGAATATTTTTATTAATGTTAATTACAGTCAGAGCTGAAATAGAGTAAATGATAGAAAAAAAATAACTAGAACAACTCCAAAGAAAAGTCTGAAAAGAGCAAAAAATTTAAGAAAAAAACTAAAAAACACAAAAATGAGTCGTGTACGATCAAATACACGAACTAGTAATTCTGATATATTAGAAACAATTGCAACATGGACAGAAGAAGAACAAAATATTCTTGAACAAAACTTGGTAACATTTCCAGCAGAAAATTATACAGAGTTTAAACGATTAGCATTATTATTAACAAACCTACCTACAAAACGGTTGAGAGATATTTCATTAAGACTTCAATTTATGAAGGCAAAAGAAAAAACAATAACACTAACTTGGGATGACTTTATTAAAACTACATTATCTCCACGCCCTAAAACAGAACGGTGTAGAAGAGAATCACCTACACATTCAGTAAAAAATTCACCACGTTCACCTCGATCAGCACGTGACTTAATGGAATCTCCATGTGAATCTCCTAGGTATAAAAAACCTATTAGTCAAAGAGCTAAATTATTAAGTCCATCTGCACCACTTAATAGTTGTGGAAGTCCTATTATTACCCAACAAACAGTCTCACAACAACCAAAAGACGTTAAAAAACTTCTTGAAGAAAATGAACGTATTATTGAGAAATTAGCAACAAGCGTAGGAATCAAAACAATTGACTTTAAAGACTTAAATCAATTTTATTTCAATTATAATACAATAATGGAACTTTCTCAAGTAATTGCTAGTCCAAATGTACTTCCTACAAGTTCATTCCAACCAATTATTCTTTCAGAGAATGATTTTAATATACAAAAAGCAAAACACACAACAGGAGTTTCATTCCATATTCCAAGGCTAGTAATGCCAAATGAAAGAGTAAATATATCTCCAAGGTCACAACCAGCTATGCAACAACTAATGCAAATGTACCAAAATCAGCCATCACAACAAATATTTTATATTCCATCAGCAGAAATTCATACAACAACTGTTATTCCACCACAACATATTAAATCTTAGAACATAAATAATACATGTCCAATGTTTGATTTAACAAACCAATCAAACCAACAACTTCAATCTACAGATGCTTCATTATCAATTGGAGATATGGAAGATTGTCCTAATGAAGGGGTTAGCTCTTTTATTAATGGAAGTTATGGGCTGACAATATCATCGTTGACCTCTCAATAATGTAATTGTTAATTATTTTGGTTCACTCGTTACTATTCTTTAGTACTTGTTTTGAAAAGAGAAAATAATAAAAAGAACTTAAAATTGTCATAGAAGGATGGAGAGGGATAGGTTCTCTAGTAGAACTAATGAACGAAGAGAACGATATAATGACAGGTTTGAAAGAAGAGAACGATCTTATGATGATTATAACAGTCATGAAAGACGAAGGGAAGAAAGATATGAGTATAGAAATCGACATGAAAAAAGGGAAGAAAAAAAAGGAAGAAAAGAAGAAGTTTGACAATATTAATGAACATTTAAGTAATATAAGAATTAGAATAATTAAATATATAGGAAGTTAATGACAAAGAATCTATAATGCAACAAATTGAAAAAGAAAGAAGAACAGTTTTTGTTCGTGGCTTAACAACTGAAGCATCAAATGAAGAAATTAAAGAATTTTTTAATCAAGCAGGAGAAGTTGTTCATGTTGAGCAAGTAATTGATACAACAACAAAGAGGTCAAGAGGATTTGGATATGTTGAATTTAAAACAATTGAAGGAGCAATGAAAGCAATAGAAATGAGTGGAATGTTTTTTAAAGAAAGTTCACCAATTTATGTAAGTGAATCAAATGCACAACAAAACAGAAACACTATTACTATTTCAAATACACAATTACAAACCAATAGAATTAAAGTCAAAAATATGAACAAACAATTAAGTAAAGAAGATATTGAAAAAGTATTTGGTATTGCAGGAAAAATTATAGAATTATCAATTCAAGAAGAAGAAGAATCAAATAATGTAATAATTGAATATGATACAATTAAAATGGCAAAAAGAGCAATTGAATTATATGATGGAAGATCATTTGGAAATATGAAATGGGAAGTATTTAGTATTTGTGAAAAAGGAAGTGATGTCATTACAAATGAAGATGAACAACTTCTTGAAAGTAAAAGTAAAGAAATGATGCTTAAAAGAATTCAAGGTGGAGTTGGTACTTTATTTGGACAAGAAAATATAAATCATTATAAAGCATTATTTGTACAAAATGTATTTACTCAAGGAAAAGAACCTATTGGATTTGAAAAAGAATTACGCAATGATATTTTAGAAGAACTAAAACAATATTGTCAAGTAAAAGATGTTATTGTAGATTTAATTCATCCAAAAGGGGTTGTTTTTGTTTTATGTGAAACTGAAGTAGATGCAAAAAAAGCATTTTCTGTAATGCACCTTCGATGGTTTAATATGCATTTATTGAGGGTAGAATATTACCCTGAGTCCAAAGTTCCTATTGTTCATCAAGATTGAATTTTAATTTTTAATACACATTTTTGGTTCCAACTTTTTTTTCGCTAATATAGGAATTTCTCTTCTTTCTAAAATAAATATTAAGTAATAATTTGAATAATTAATATGATAAAATTCTTAGAAATAAGGAAAAAGAGAAGAGTTACTAAATAAGTGAAGAAAAAAAATACTAATATTTAGGGAGAATTTTTTCATTAGATGTTTTTTGTTTTAATTTCTCTTTTTAACGACTTTCTGTAAAAAACATAAAATAACTTAAAATACTTCTCTGTATAAATTCAATTATTTAAATAATTAAAATAGAACTGAACTTCCTTTGTTTTGTTAATGCAACCCATTTACACCATGTGACCAAAGTGTATTATATGTAACTAATCTTCCACTCAGTTGTGATGAATCTTTACTTAAAGAATTCTTTTCAGTTTGTTATTTATTATTTGTAATTATTATCAATTTCTGACTATTCATTTGGGGGTCAGGTTTTATTTGTATTTCATTTGTATTTTATTTAATTTGGTTTATTCTTTATTATTCATTTTGGTGTCTAGTAAGAAAAACTAATTGGAAAGAAATATGACACTGTCATGAGAGTTACTATACAATCAACAAGTCATGGTCCTAGTGCTTATATTCAATTTGCTACAGACCATGGTGTTACTAAAGTACTTGAACAAGGACCTATTATTCTTAATAATCAACAAATACGAGCAGAAAAGGCTAAAACACAAATGACCTTATTCTTTGCTAAAATGGGTAGTTTAATGACTCAAAAACAATTTAAACAAGAATGTGAAAAATTTGGAGAAGTAGAAGAAGCTACAATTATTACTGACAGAGAAACAAAAAAGTCCAAAGGATGTGGGTTTGTTAAATTTGTTTATAGGGATGATGCAGTTAGTTGTTATAATGTTTGTTTACTTTAAATATCTAATAAACGTTATAATAATACAAATATTAACTGAATAGTATCATAAATATAAAAAAATATATATTGTTGAATGGGCACGATCACCAATCCATCGTGCAAGTCAAGCTGATAGATATACTATTTTTGTTGGGAATTTATCAAAAAAACAAGCAAACCAAAAAACTATTGAAAGTAAATTTAAGAAATATGGTAAAATAGAACGTATTACCGTTATTAATCGACCAAATGAAACCACTGCTTATGCTTTTGTTAAATATGATAATACTTTATCTCCTTCAGAAGCTATTCAAACAGAAAATAATAGTGATTGGGATGGTCAAATTATTGTTGTAGAATTGTCTGAAAATACAATTCCAAATAAAAAAGATTCTTCTCATAATCTTCAGTCATTAAGTTCAATAAATATTAAACCTCTTGTACCTGAATCTTCTAAAGAGAGAAATAATACTACTCCTATTCATACTTCTTTTAAACAAAAAAGAGATACTTCAAAAAGAGAATATACTTCTTCGCATATTTTATATTCACCATCAGATTCTTCTTCTCAAAGTTCTGATCAAACTTCTCCTTCTATTCAATCACCATTAACTAATTCCCCTTATAGTTTTTCTCCATTATTTACTTCTCCACATCATACTTCTCCTCAATCAAATTCACCTCATGCTCTTTCACCTCATACTCGCTATAAGAAACATCAATTCCCAATTCAACAATTCAATTTACAACAAATGTCTCCAATTCAACAATCACCAAAATCTGTTAGAAAAATTCAAGGAATTCAATCCTCTCATACTCCACATAATCTGAATCAAATACAACCAAATCGTTCTGTTCCTAATCTTGTATATCAAGATATGTCTCATACAAATATTCCACAACAACTCCATCGACAGAAATATCACCTTGTTGATTCTATTAAAACTAAATCCCTTGATGTTACAAGTTATAATGATTCAGAATACGAATTTGATTCTGTTTCAGACCCAAAGAAAATAAATTTTAGTGAAGGTGATACTGAATTTAAAAAGGAATTAAGTCCTGAAGATGAAGAATCTAAAACAATGGATAATTTGAATTCTCTTCCTGACATTGCTTTTTCATCATCAATGTCTCATGACTCATTATTAGCTGATGCCATGGAAACACCAATGCAAAAACTTCGTCGAGAAGATGATTTTGATATAGAATCCTTCATTAGAAAATCCTCTTTTTTGACTGATGAAGATTGACTCTCATAGTTTGATATTAATATCATCAACACTTCCTACTTAATCACGATCTTATTTATATATCTCTCCATCGTCTTTAAGTTTTTACTTAATACTTATTCAACATCATTTTTTTAGTAAATTATTGTTTATTTTTATAGTCATGCTCAACAAATACTTTTATTTAATCGTTATTTGTTTAGTAACATTTTTTATTAGATAACATTAGTTGACATAGTGTTTGATAGATAAATGACAATATCTTTAAAGTGACTTATAAAGTGTGTCAAATAATATAAGTGTCATCTTAATTTCATCTTAATTTGTTTTAAATTGTTAGCGATAACTCATATTATCAGGATTGATTACATTTGATTCTATCTCTTTTCTCAATAGAATAAAGAATAGAGTCATAGAAATAAAAAAGTAACATAACTAAATTCAATTTATTTCTTGTTCAATTATTTAAAAATAAATCTAGTTTTACTTTATAGTTAGAAAAACCAGTGATAATTCACAAAGCACTTCTAAGTAGTTCTTTTTTTTTTCTAATAAACAAATATAATTGAGTGGTAACTTTGTGTAAATTAAGACTTCTTAAAAAAGATTAACAATTAAAACAACCCATAGAAATATACCATCTAAGACATTACTAACTTTCTTATTTTCTCTACTCTTCTCAAAAGAAATCATCAAAATCAAATTCTGAACAGATTTTACTATTATCAATTGGTTTATCTGACTTCTTAATAATGTCTTCTTCGTTTTTCTTATCTTCTTCTTTCGATTCAAATATTTCATCTATTACTGTTGTGTCATCACTCTTTACTTGTTCCTTATGTTCAGTATCATTTTCTTTAATATCATTCTCTTTGGCACTAATATTTGTAGTGCTTGATGGTTGATCATCTTCAATAACAAAACCATCACTATCCCCTGAATCTTCCTTTTCTTCTTTGTCTAATACATGAACTTCTTTTGTTGATTCATCAACCTTTTGGTGTTTAATGTCATCTGTTCTGATAGGTTTTACTTCTTTGCCATCTAACAAATCTTGAATCCTTTCTTTGTTGCTTTCCTGTGTCTTATTGTCATTGATTTCTTTCATGAGTCGTTCAGTATGTTCATCAAATTGAATCTTTTTCATTGTTGGTCTTCTTCTTCCTTTTGGACCTGATACACTTCTTCTACTAATTTTACCATCATGTCGAATCTCGATTGTCTCTTCATTACTTTCTTCATTTTTCTGTTCCACTGGCTTTGGTCTTATTGGTGCTGGTCCTCCCATGATTGGTTTATTCCCAAAAATGCCTTCTAACTTAGTTTTTGTTTGTGTTTTTGTCATCTTTTCTGCTTTAATTTCATTATCACTAACTGGTTTTTTCTTTGGCTCTTCTTTTGTTGAAAACAATGCTTCAATTTTACTAGACACCTTACTTCCTTGAGCTTTTACTTCTTGTTTCTTAGTTTCTGCTTCAAAGACATTATCTATCTTCTTTTTAGGTTGGTCTTTCTTTTCTTCTTGTTGTTTAGGTTGTGTTGGTGTTGTGTTGATATCTCCAAATAAGTCATCAACTTGTGTTGTCTTTGTCTTGGATTTCTTAGTTTCTTCCTTTGGCTTAGAAATATCGTCAAAGGTGAACAAATCATCAATTTTCTTTGTTTGTTCTTGCTTTTTCTCTCCTTCCTTCTTAATATCATTTACTTGAGTACTTTCTAATAAATCCTTTGTTTTTCGTTCATTTGTTGGTACTTGTTTAGCATCTTCTACTTTTGTGTCTCCAAACAAATCGTCTATTTCTGGTTTCTTGTGTTTACTCTTTGTATTGGAGATACCAGAAACAACCTTTGGTTCTTCAAATAGGTTGTCAATGGCTATTTTCTGGTATTGTTTAGGTTCTTGAGTTTTTTTCGTTGAGTCTTTTGGCTTTGGTTCAGTTTCAAACAAATCATCAACTATCTTTTTTGAGTTTTGTTGATGCAGGGATGTTACTGTTTCATTGTTAGATGGTTTTGTTGGTGTTTCAATACTGAAAATGTCATCAATTTCTTTCTTGGGTTTTTGATTAGGTTCTTTCTTTGGTTTTTGATTTGTTTGACTCTCTATTTTCTTTTCTAGAGACTTATCATCTTCAAAGAGATTGTCAATAACCTTCTGGTGAGACTCTTCTTTTTTAACTTCATTCTGAAGAACTGTTGATCCAAACAACGGATCGGTTGTAGATGTTTTCTTTCAGTTTTTATTTCCTGAGATTTGATAGTACTTCTCCCAAAAAGATCATCAATCTTGGTTTCTCTTTCTTTCTGACTTTTGTTCTTCTGCTTATCCACAGTAAGTTGTGAATTGGATTGGATTTCAATATCTTCAAATAAATTATCTACTTTTATTTCTTTCTTGGTAATCTCTTGTTTTGGTTGGTTGTTTTGGGGTTTGAGGTTTTCTTTCTTTTCTGAAGATGATGGAGTTGTTATTGGTTCTTCTTTTTGAACCTCATGTTGTTTGATTATAACATCACCAAACAAAGGGTCTAGATTCTTTTCTGTTATTTCTTTCTTTTCTTCTTGAATATTCTCTTTGTGTGGTTCTTCTTTCTTTTCTATTGGCGTTTGGTTTTTGCTTTGTTGGGATACATCAGGCTCTTCATTAACATCACTAAACAGAACATCAATCTTTCTATTCTTTTTTGCTGGTTTCTTTTCTTTTTCTTCGACTTTCTTTTCAAGTAATAAATCAATAAAGTCTTCTGGTGTTTTTTTCTTTTCATCTAGACGTTGAACTGTGCTTGTATTAGTTTCTTTTTTTGTGTCAAGTGAAGAGGCTAATACGTCCAAAATATCAACATCCTCTTTATCATCAAACAAATTTTCAAATTCCACTTTCTTCTTCTTTTCTTTTACTTTTTTCTGCGAATCTTCTTTCTTTTTTTCTATTGTTTTTGTTTTAAAGTCAACGTTATCATCATCAAAACTTAAGATAGTTGATAGTTTGTTAGAGGTAGTCTCTCTCTTATGTTTTGATTCTATTAGTAATTTAGTAACATCATCAGTTTGCTCTTCCTTCTTTTCAGGTTCATGTACTTTGTTATTTGATGGTTCTTCTGTTTTAATCTCTTCTATACTTTCAACTTTGGGCTTAGGGATGATGGTTGGTGAATCTGATTTATCTCCTGGTTTATCTCCTGGTTGTGGTAGTCTGAATCCTCTTTGTTTAATTTCTTCTATAATTGATATTTTCTTTGTAGTCTGTTCATCCTGTTGTTGTTCTTTTTGTTGTTCTTCTGAAATCACTTGTGTTTCTTGTTCTTGTTTCTCAGAACTAACCCTTGGTGAAGATGATAAAATTGGGTTTCCTGATGAATCCATATGTAATGGAGGTGGGGGTGGGATTTCTCCAGTTTTAATTTCTCCAATTGATGATACAGAGACAGTTGGAATTGATGATACAGAAACAGTTGGTTGAGTTGGTTCTGTTGTATTCTCTTGATTTTGTTCTTGATTTTTTGATAATTGAGGATATCCAATATATTCAATTTCATCAACAAAATTCTTTCCTTCATTGATATTAATTCCATTAATCATTTGAAGTCCCTTTTCAAGAGCAATCTCAAATAATTTATCATCTTCAATATCTTTTATTTCTGTGCTTACTTTCTCGTCATCTTCTTTAATTTCATATTCAGCCACTTTATTTTCAAGATATTGAGATTGACTGATATAGACAAATTCATCTCCTGTTGATCGAACCTGTAATTCAAGGAGGTTGATATTTTTTGTTGCTTCTTGCATTTGGGTTGTGAGTTGATTACAAGAACCTAATATTGTATTATGGATTTCTTTAATGTATTCTAGAAATTCTTTGTCACTGTCTAATGTCCATTCACCATTATGAATAACATCCATTGCATTTCTTGTTCCTTCTGTTGTTGTCATTCAAAATTACTCTTTTAGAGTTTAAGTTCCTTTGAAATCTTGAAAAAAAAACATTTTGATAGAGAAAATATCCATCACATCGTGAATAATCCAAAGAATTTAAGACAAATACATTGTATTATAACAAAAAGAAAATACAAAAAGTTTACTTACAACATTCAAACCATCGTTTCTTTTCATCAGTAACAATTGTTCCATCATCTTTAAAACAAATTGATTTCTCAGTATGAGCTTTTCTCATATGTTGTTGTAAAGTTCTTTTTAATACAACAACACCACATTTTGGACATTCTATTCTTTCTTCTTGATACTTTTCTTTGTCCATACCATGAACTGAAGAAATATGTTCCCACAACAATTCTTCACGACTAAATGTTTCATAACAATTTTCAAATCCACAAACAAATTCATTCTTTTGATGTTGTGCAGCACAATGTTTAAATAAATGAGAAGGATATTCAAAAGCTTTAGTACATCCTTCATAAGGACAACAAAATGCTGCATTTTTATTTCCAACTACATTTTGATGTTTTTCTTTTACATGAGCAATAAGTTCACTTTTCATAAAAAAAGAGTTATTACATCCATGGTATGTACATTGATATGTTTGATTTGTTTTATGTGATTCAACATGTTTATCGAGATATGACTTTGTTGTAAAACATCTCCCACAATTCTCAATTGGACAAATAAATTTTTTATCTCCAGTATGAGTAACTGAGTGTCTTCTTACCTCTGCCATTGTTCTAAATTTCTTTCCACATTCAGGACATGAATATTTCTTTGAATTAGGATCATGTATTCTTTTATGAGAAACTAAAGCACCATTTGTATTGCACTCATGACCACAAACAGAACAAACATACTTCTTTACTTCTTTCTTCTTTAATTTTTTGTTTTTACTTTTTATTGTTGGTTTTTTTTCATTTTCTTTATCTTTATCACTCATTGTTACAATATCCTCTTTTTCATGACGTTGAGATATTGGTGTTTGTGTTATAATCAAAGAATTATATTCTTCCTTTTTTGGTGGTGAATGAGGTTCTTCTTCAAAAAGGTCAGTTGTAATTTCTACTCCATCCACAATAGTTGTTTTCTGCATCTTGTGAGGTGGTATAAGTTTATTCATTTCTTTTTAATTATTAAATACCTTAGGTCTAATATGTTGAATTCTCCCTTAACTTACATCTAATTTAAATAACTTATTTTAGGGTTGGAAAAGAAAAATGTTTGTAGTTCAGATATGTTCAACAATACTAACCAAAAGTTAAACTAAGATTTCAGATGAATGTCCATTACGAACATGTCGATTCTTGTTTTCCAGAACGTATTAAAGAAATTAATGAATTTTATACTATTATTTCTTCAGTTTGTAATACTTGTTTATTTTAAAAGAAGCTTACTCATTATTTTAAGGCAAGTAGTTTAGGAGAAACTATTTTAATTCACAGAAATTATGATGATGATTCAATTATGATTATTAAAGAATGTTTAAATGGATTATACTGTCATAGACTTATTCAATTTAATCAACAATTAGTGTCTTTTATTCGTATGATAAAGTCAAAGCCATTAATTTCTATTTCTCAAATTATTACAAAGGAACAAATAAAAATAGGTAGAAGTAATAAACAAACACTAATTATTTTAATTAATGACTTTGAAAAAATTCTTAAAGATGAACAAATTCAATACCTCAAATACTTACAATCATTTTGTGCATTACATAATATTATTATTCATTTAGTTTACTTTTCTTATAATCCATTATCAACTCAATTAGGTTGTCATTATAAACGTATTGTATTTCTTCCTCTTTCACTTGAATCAATACAACGTGTTGTTTCTATGTCAGTCCAAACAACAAATGATGATATAAAAAAGAAAATTATGATATTTGTAGAGAAGTTATATTATTATAATCCTTCAAGACTATTTATTATCACTTCGTCATTTTCATTTTTAGAATTTCTTCAAACTAACCCAAATGCTAATGACAATTCTTTAAATTCATTTTTTACTACAATTACTCAACCTTTGTGTATTGGTCATAAAATAATTAAAGAAAATGTTGACTTAATCAATAACACATCATATCATCTTAATTATTTATTATATATTTCATTTAAACTCTCATCAAATAACTCTTGTTCTTTAAAAATAAATAAAATATATTCTGAATATACATTTTCTTGTCCTAATCCTTTACCATTTGATATGTTCATTCTCTTATTCAAATCTGCTGTGGATGATCATTACTTTATTGCAGCTCAAACAGATGTTCCTTTTATAGTTAATTCTTATAAGTTAATCATAACACAAAATCAATTTGACCAAATAGAAGATTCTTTGTTTGGTCATCAGAAACTCGAAACTGATGCGTTTTAATTCATTTTTCATTGTTTATGTCATCTCTTTGTTGAAATAGTCTAAAAGTCTTTTTTTTATTTCATATTCTTTTCATGACTTTCATGTTTCTGTTTCTTTCTAGTTGATAAATTAATAAAATTGATTTGTATGTTCTACTTTTTATGTATATTCTTATTATCCAAATAACTTTATTCCATCAAGGTTAAAGTAATATGCTTTTAGTAAGTTAATTTTTTGTACGTAGTTTTCAACTGGTTTAATTTATTTTCATAAGTGTTTGAAAAAGATAGATTTAGTGTATAAGTTGTTTGTTAGTCGGTTAAAGAATAAACACAAACAAATTGTGTAAATTTCTAATGAATTAGATTTGTATTTAATGCATATTGTTTTTTTTTGGTTTGAAAGTTGGTGATGGTTCAAAGAATGATACGTTATTATTAAAAGTCTATCTCAAGTATTTCTCTGTCTTAATTTGATATAATTATAAAAATGAATAACAATAAGATGTTTTTGTTTGAATTTTACTCTGTCATATTCTTGTTCAGATGATACAATGAGTTTATAAACTGTACTAAATAACATATTAAAAGTATTTAGATGATTAAATTCACAAATATTTAATATACCAGCACCACCGTATTGAGCAGAATATTATTAGAAAGTTTATGACAATTAATTTTCTTTGAAGTATTTATTGATTGTATTGTTTTTTTTACAAACAATATATGAGCAAATAACTTAATGTCAAAACTAAGTTGTAGATACTTAAAGAATTAGACTATTTCTTATCGTATAAGTTCAGTTGTTATAATTTTATTCCAATTTGATTTAATATTTCAATGAATAAAGACTTATTTGAAATTGCAATGAAATAACAGAATTGATACATATTGGATTACTTTTTTGCTCAAAATAAATAACTTAATAGCTGAATGATAAAATTAATGGTTCAATATCATTTATTCTTATAATTTAGTATAAACATTCTGTTATACTAATAGTGAATATAGTCATGTGTTGAAATGAAAATTTAACCCAGCAAAATTAAAAATGAACTATAATTCTAATCAACCATTCTACAAAGTATTAATGTTCTTAGTCTATATAGATTAAAATAATTATCAGACATTTTTAATATTTAAAGATTTTTCCATTACGAAAAATTTACCCAAATGAAATGTTTGTATTTTAATGAAATTTCATCATTGTTAATTGTTTTAAAATAAGTATGTTTCACGATTAAATCAGATTAAATTGAACACTAATTACATTTAGTTGTTGTTTTTGGTTTATACTAGAAAAGATGAAATGTTTTATGTCATTATTTATCTCTTATGTTTGTTCCATTAACATATGACTGTTCTACATGTTCTTTATCAAACTATAAAAGGATGTTAAAATCAATTAAACTAAACACTCCATTGTATTATTCACTTTTTGCTATCAATGTTTTTCTCTATAACTTTTATTCATAAATTAATACAAACTTATCCATTAGTCCAAGTAAATGACTTAATAGTATTATCACAAACCAGTGACTATTTCACAGTCTGTATAACTTTAAAGCAGTTTATAGACAACTGCTTAACGAGAGATTTAATGAATTTTCATATGAATATTTTGTGCTTTTTATTTAAGACAACAACCAACTGTATTAAACTAATGGTTTTAGGCAATCACCTAATGTTTAGTTCAAGGATAGATTTATTCAATTTGAAAGATTAAATAATGTATTATCAAATATTTACTTCTTTAAAAAAAAACACATAACAATAAAAAGAAAATTAACTTGGGTTTCGTTTTTTTGGTTGTGTAAAGTGTTATGAATAGGAGTTAAACAAGAAAAAGTCTGTTGGAGTTTGATTAAGTTACATATTTTCTATAAACAACAAAATTTTAAATTTTTGTTATAAGAAACAATAAATAAGTTTTAAATTTATAAAATTTAGAAAAATCATCTTAAAATAGTCAGAGGAGAATGCAGTCAAATATTATATCACCAACAATAATAAACGAACTACTCTTAGAGGTAAGTGCATTAAAAGAACTCATTCCTTCGAATTTAAAGAAAGTTGTTACAGAGATTAATGAATTTGGAAGAGAAGTAAATAATTGTAAACCACCTGACTTTCCTTGTTCAACTAGTGTTGGAAGTATTTTATATAGGTATTGTATTGGAATTGGAACATTAATAATAATATCTCAAAATTATCTTAATTGTCATTTAAAAGATGAGATTGAGTCATTATTGTCTTCCCCTTCTCCAAGTATTAAAGATATTGAATTATACCACACTGAACTACCTAACCAATCTTATGACGTTATGATTTCATTCCAAGAAGGATTCAATGGATGTAATAAAAGAGTTATTAAAGGTGATCATATTTATAATATTGTTATTCCTCGATATACTCTCCACCCAACATCATTCACTGTAGGAGATGTTGTTTTCAATGTTAATGTTTCACAACAAAGTAATTATTGTATTTTTGATGATATTTTATTTGTTACTGTACATCCAATATTTAACAATCCTTTTATTATTGTCGAACTTCCTGATGGTTCTTCTCATAAAATAGCTGCAAAACACATTGAACAATTAGGTAGTGTTGATATAGAGGGATATCCTTTTAGGATAGCTGTAGTTTTCCAATCTCCACAACAATTGTTATCTTCTGCTTTGTCTGGGTCATTACAACAACATACAGGGAAGTCTGCTGTATTACGCAATTGGGATGTATCTTTATTTAAAACTTCTTCTTTATTAAAACAATCCTTGGTTGAGAAGATCTTAATGACTTTTAATGTCCAAAAGACTGATAGAATCGAGTCATTTGAAATTGCAGAAGATACTGCTTCTGTTGCATTGAAATATATCGACCATAATTCAGCTGTAACACTTAGACATGCATTAAAATATCCTAATCAAACTTATGTTATACCTCCCTTAACAAGTAATAAGTCAATATTCATCTCAACATTAACTCCAACAAATGTTATTCGTGGAGAGATATGTGCAACGCTTCCAGTTTTATGTGAAGGGGGAATAGCTGAAAATGAACACCTACATATCAAGGTTGAAATACCACGAGGAACTCTTGCAGGAAGTACTATTATAAAGAAAGAACAAGGAAAAACTTATGTGTTACAAGTTAATGAAATACCATCAGGTTATTATCGTAGTGGAGATGACATCATCACAAGTGTTGAATTACCAGAGTTTGGAGCAAAAGCTGCAAACCAAGAAATTACGGTTTTCACTTTAAATCGAACAGCAGTTAACCTCCATGGCAGTTTGAGTAAAGTAATGAGAATAGTAGGTGGAGGGGTTCCTTTGAGTAATGGATATGGAGATCTTGTTGTTACTTTTATTCCTAAGGCACAAGTATTAAAAGAAAAAGAGTACTATCAAATAGCTAAGTACTGCACTAAATTCACAATATTCCATCAAGACTACATTATGAGGGAAAAAAGATTTAATGATGGTAGTATTATTCCAAAAATTTATAGGATCCCAAAGAATATGAATGCTACTTTGAAGAAAAGGAATTATTTTGTTCGTTTTCCATTAGATGGAGATGTTAAGAATGGAAGACCAACTGACTTGATTTTTGAGGTAATTCCAAAGGAGTAAGGTTTTAATAATATAGTGTTTTTGTGGGAAAATACAATTTTTATTATTTTCTTTTTTTCTAGTCGTAAGTACAACTAAGTCAAGGAAATAAAATAAATAGTATATACACCAAGATATAAAAAGATACTAACTTATTTTCTTTACTCTTAAAGGTTTTTGGAAATAAGTGAACAGAAAAAGAAAAATCTTAACAAACAGTATTTCAAATTTTATTTAGAATATCTTTATTATGGTTGCTAAGATACAACAATACAAAAAAATAAGTATTGTAATAAACTTAACATCTACAATTATTTAACTGTGCTTTAAATAGCATAATTAAAATACTTTTAATAATATGATATTATATATTTTTAATACATGTCTTCAGGAAGAGAAGAGATTGTTTTGTATTATTTTTATAATTCATTCTTATTCATTAAAAACAAAAAGAAAAGAAATAAAGTTTATGTGTTAATACAAAAGTATTTAAGATTAGACTTTAAGACATCTATTCTATTCATTTCATTAATTCAAGAACCATTTATATTTTTAGAAATAATAGCTTTAACTTAAATATTAGTTATTTACTTGAATTTTTTAAATTCAATAAATAAATGAATTAGTGTCTATTCCATTAAAAGAATAATCAACTTGAGTCTATTCACTTTCCAAGTTCTATTGAATAAATTCTTATTTCTTTTTTAACTCTTTCAATTAACGACTCAGTATCATGACTCAGATAATATATATGCTTTAAATTGTATTAATTTAAATAAGAATAACAAAGAGAAGAAAGATAATTGTTGTTTTCAATTGGACATACTGAAAAACAAAGAAATATGAAACACTCAAAAAAAGAGAAATTGAACAAAGAAAAATTGAAATAAAAATAATAATATAGTTTAATGATAATATTTTATAGTATAGAATATAATTGAACTATTAAACAACAGAATGGGTGAAACAGATAACAAGCCACAGGTCACTCAAGACAGTGAGGCAACATCAAAGAAGCATAAGAAATATGAAAAAAGTAAAGAAAAGAAGAAAATGGAAGAAGAAGATGATGATAGTGAAAGTGAGAGTGATAGCGGAAGTGAAAGTGAAAGCGATAGTGAAAGTGATGACCATAAAGAAGATGACAAAGATAGTGATACTACAGAAAAAGAATCTAGTAATGGAGAAGAAAAAGAGTCAAGTACAGGAGAAGAAAAAGAAGTCAAGAAGGATGCGGTAAAAAATGTTGAGAGAAAAGAAACAATTTTTAAAATGGTTGAAGAATTTCCTCAACAAGAAACATTAGAAGATGTACTTTTAAAATTAAGTAATGTTAATTTAAATGAAGAATGGCTGAAAAAACCAGAAAACCAAGTACTTAAACAAAAGGCATTGTGTTTGTTTTATGAAAGATATCCCGAAGCAGTGTCTGAAGTTATGTTTCCATTTGAACAAATCATTAACAAAGCAGAAAACAAACCAGATGAAGTCCAAATGGAAATATTAAAGAAAATAATAAATTCAACATTCATTATCAGAAAAAATGAAACAGTAACGCTTATGGAAATTGTTAATACATTACCAAAGAAAGAAGACACAAAAACAACAAGGAAAGATGATAATGAAAGTAGTAAAGATTATAAAGATGATAGGTCACATAAAAGAAAAGGAAATGATGAAGAATATTCAAGAAGAGATGAACGAAATTATCGTGGAGATTATCGAAGAAATAATAGTAAATCATCAAGGAGTAGTTCACGAAAGAGAGATCGAGGAGGAAGACATTGATAATAATATTCTTTTGTTAATGAATTTGTTATTAGTTTGTGTTTTTTAGAAAGAAAAAAAGGAAAAAACATTTTTTAATTATTACATTCTTCAGAGATTGAAATGTCACAAAAGAAAATAGAAATATTTGACGATAATTATAAATTAGAAGTCCAAAGTTTGGTAAATAAATTTGAGATAATAAATTGTGGTGATTAATCAAACTAACAAAACATAGTTATCAAAGCAAAATTACTAAAGGTTGAAGCAAATGACTGTGATCCATATGGAGTATGTAAAATTGGAAAAGTCAAATATCGTACAGAAACAGTTAAGAAAACAACAGAACCACAATGGAAAAGTGAGCCTATTATTGTTGATATTGAAAAGAATATGAAAGATGTTGTTGTAAGTGTTAATAGACATGGATATGTTGGGAATAAAATTGAATTAGGAAGTGCACGTATTTTATTGTCAAGATTAGGAAATGATGTCTCAACTACTCAATGGTATGATTTAATTCAAAATAATGAAAAAGTTGGTAGTGTTCAATGTAGATTTAAACGACAAAAAACAGATAGAAGTAATGAAAGTGTTTCAAATGATGAACGAAAATGGGTTGATTTATTAGCTCAAATACATAATGTTATTGAACCATCTGGAACACAAATAGATAAATCATTTCAATATTATATGGGAACAATAGATAAAAGAAGTACAATAATGGAAAAGAAAAGTAGTGTCATTGGACCAATCATTGGATTTATTAAAATTATAATGGAACATCCAATTAATAATATTCATCTTGGTCAAAAAGGAATAATTCAAATTAAAGTTCCACCTTCTTTGAATTGTAGTAGTGATATTTGGACATTATTATTTCCAAATGGAATGACTGTTTCATCAACACCAAGAAAACCAATCTTTCTTCCATTATTTACTTCAAGTTTATCAAAACAAATGACATATTATGTTTTTCTTATTAGTGATACAGAAATTCAAGTTGATGGTCAAATATTATATGTACCAATTGCAATTGGATTTGTATCATATCATCCTTTTTATGAAATTATGAGAAGAATGTTATTATCTATTTATGAACTTTGTCCAACACTTTCAAACCAAACAATGGATTTATTGGATGGAAGAGATGATTTAATAAAAATGACAATAACACAACCCTCAAGAACCACTCAAACACCAATGTTACTCAAATCGTCTTCTACATTAAATTCTACACCACCAAAATATCAACCAATTATCAAAGGAATCTATGAAATGATGTGTATTGAATATCTTGCATATGGAGGATATTCTCGTTATAAATATAATAATTTAAATATTGAAATAAGATTACCAGTAAAACACTCATTACCAGTATTTAATACATCTATTTATCCATTATTCTCTATATTTAATGTTTCAGGAATGACAACACTCTTTTTACTCTTAATGACTAATCTTAAAATCGTTATTTTTTCATCTCATCTATCTTTGCTAACAACTTCTATTGATAATTTAATTTCATTACTTTATCCATTCCCTCCAACACAAAAAGTTTTTGCTATTCTTCCTTATAAAAATCTTAATGTTTTATCAGGAAGTGATACATTCATTGCTGGAGTACCAAGTGAATATCGTGAAATAGCAAAAAAACAATTAGGAAATGAGGAATATATTGATGTTGATTTAGATACTGGGATTATTGAAATGAATGTTAGTAAGGAATTGTTAGAATTTCCTGTTGATCTTACTGTTGATCTACAAAAAGATTTGAATGACGCTTTTAAAGAGAAATATTTGAAAATGGATCAACTAGGAAACGAGCCTTATGATGATAGATATTTTTTAACTGCTACTAATTCATTTAATCTCAAGGTAAGACTTGCTTATTTTAAATTTCTTACTAAATTATTAGAAGGTTACGATGAATTTATTAACTATGTTTGGGTTGCTGATAATGAAGTATTTGACTTTGATGTTTATTCATTCTTCTTAACAAAATCATTTGATTGTGAACCATTAATCAAACACTTTTGTGAATCAGGAACATTTTTAGAATATATTAAAGAACAAGGATTTGATAATGTTTTTAGAGAGTGGATTTCAAATAGAGTGTTTGATTGTTCATTAACAGATTTGTATAACTTCTATATTAAGGCAAAACGAATCACTAACATCACACCAGCAAATCAATCAGTAATAAAAGAGTTAAAAGATATTAATGCATTTACTATTGACTGGGAAGACTTAAAAAGATTAAAACAAAGTGAAAGTAGTATTCGTCTTACAAAACAGATGCAAAAGGACAAAAATTATTGTAATGAACTTGATAAATTTAAAATGGACAAAGAAAAACCAAAGGAAAAACATATTTGGAATGCAATTTTTGGTAGGTTTGTTGATGATATTCAAAGAAATGCACCTCCAGATATGGAAAAAGTTTATCAATGTGCAAGTAATCAAGCAGGAAGACATTTATTATTAAAAATATTAAGCTCTCAAGCAGACAAAATGAAATCAAAAGGTTGTCTTGAATATGAATCTTATGAGAATCTTCTTCAATTAATAAAAACACTTGTTGCTTATTGTAAAAGTGATAAAGATATAGAAACACCATTAGGAATTGTTGAAGTTGCTACAAAATATTGTTATAAAAAAGATGCTGTTACATACAGATTTCTTATTGATGATATTGGAATGGCAGAGATATGGAATAATAAAAATATATGGCATAGAGCATTTAATCAAACCATGGTTAATTCGATGAAAGAAATATATGGAAAGTTTTATTCATTACAACTACCTACAATTTGGAAAGGATGGAATCAACAACAACAAGCAAAATATAGAGAAAAAGAAGAAAATAGTTTAGTTACAACACTTCATATGATTGCAAAAAATATGAAAATCATTGGAGTATCAAATAAAATTATTTATGAAGTATTAGAAGATTGTGAGTCTACTGTACATGCATCTTCTGAAATTAAATCTGTTATTTCAAATGTTGTTAAGATTATTTTAGAAAACGATTCTTCATTAATTCATTAGTTCTATCTTTTAGTTTTGTTTCTTCTTTTTATCGTTTGTTACTATTCTATTTAAATCATTTATTATTTCTGTGACATTTCTTCCTGTAATCATTGAATGAATATTAACTGACCTAACAATTCCTTCATCATCAACAATGACTGTTGCTCTATTAGATACTCCTATAATAGAAAGCAATCCATAACTTTCTGATATTTGACGATTTACATCTTCTATTAATTTAATTTCTATTTCTCCTATTCCTTTTTCATCTTTTCTTTCACATAATCTTTTGTGTGTTTCTACTGAATCTACTGAAATCCCAATTACTTCTGCATTTAGTTCTTTGAATTTTTCAATATTGTCACTCAATTCTTTAATTTCTCTTGGGCAAACTCTTGAAAAATCTCTACAATAAAATCCAATCACATGATATTTCCCTTTCTCAGCTTCCATTTCATACTCTTTTATTTCTCCTTTGTAATATGCTTTCCCACATATCTTTGGTGCTTTTTCTCCAACTCTGATACTTGGTTTGGTTCCTGTGATTGAATAATACATCTCTTTAACTTTTTTTATCATCCCTCCTTCTTCTTTATTTCTTACGTCCATACTTCTTTCTCTTCCATCTCTTCTTTTCAATATTTGTCTTTTCATTTCTTTTTACTTCATATCTTCTTTTTCTTTATTTTGACTATTATTTATACATTAAAACAGATAGAAGAGAAATACCCAAAATATGATGAGTCTTATTATGACATTAAGAAAGCATATGACACAGTAAACCACGAATGGGTAATTGAATCATTAAAATATTTTAATGTAGAGGGTGTCATCATTGACATGATTGAAAGTATGATGACTAGATTGAAGATATTCATAGGTTATAAATTTAATGAATATCTAGGTAGTATTAAATTAAATAGAGGAATTTTACAAGGTGATTCCTTATCAAATCTACTCTTCATCATTCAGATGAATGTAATTTGTCAAATCATCGAAGAGAAATTCCCAAAATCAAATCACACATTATATATTGATGATTTGAGAATAATGACAGAAAATAGTGAAGAAATGGGAATAATCCACAATGAAATTAAAGAAATAATAAGTGGAATAGGGATGGAAATGGTTTGAGTCAAAATGAGTAGATAAAACTACTACAATTAAAGCATTGAAGTCAATCAATATTAAAAAGAATGCATTTCTTCAATTAACTAAAATGCAAGATGGTGCAATATTTTGTGGGTATAAAAAAGCAAAAATAATGAAAAATGAAAGATTGAAATACTGACCACTATGTAAAGACAAGATAGCTACAGTAGAAAACATTTTACTATCTTGTATTTATCATAAAAAATCACAAATAGAAAAACATGACAATATTGGCATTATAATATTGATTAATAAGAAAATACACAGGAAATAATCAATATAAAAAACCTCCATATGAAATAGTGTTCAAATATAAAGACATCACTATGATATGGAACAAACAAATAATGCCTAAAAGTGAATGACAATACCACAAAATACTAGATATATATGTATTAGATAAAAAGAATCAAACTAATCTATTATTTGATATGATTATTGTGGCTGATCACAATATTAATGGAGCCTATTTGAAGAAAAGAAATATGTATAAAGAATTAAAGAATAGGCTAATGAAAATAGAAAAATAAAAAGATGACAAAATAAATCCAGTAGTAATTTCAATCAATGGATTAATAAATAAAGAAAGTATTAAATTAATTAAAGAAATTAAAAACCTTGTAATACAAAACATAATTGGATGTCATTGAATACTGCTTCAATCACAATCAAACATACTCCGTAGAGCTGCTAGAAGAAGTGATAGGATTGGTTGTCTACTCTGAAGCAGGAATAATAGAAGCTAATTCTATTAATACTTAATTAATTAATTTATTTAATTGCTTTTAATTTTTATCTCGTGATTATCTCCTTTTTTTCATTCTTTATTCATTTCT